AATAAATTCTGACGTGCAGATAGATTCAAAAGCTCCTAATTAATATCTGTTGCAGAACTTATCTGTGGAAAATAGAAAGTTAAATGTAGAACTTCCAGATTTTACATTCGATAGTACACTTATTTCATTTCATATAGCAACAGGACTTGTTTATATTTTTGTTAAAAAAACTTCGATAGAGTCTGTGTGGAAAGAGAATGGGATTTAGATTGGAGGGCGCTGTAGTGCTTTTCTACCGTATTTGTAAGGTTTTACCCCTTTTAGACATGATTAAATACAAAAAACCGCAAGAAATCACAACAACAAACAAATCCGTATCAATACAAAACTTTGACGTTTTACAGATTGCTGGGTTTGATTGGCAAATAAAAATCTTAGGATCGTATTACAGAATGATAACTAAGTGTTGATCTTTACTTGAGTACAGTTAGAAAGGGATGTCGCTATGTGCTATATATAGCGACATCCCTTTCTAACTATGCTCAAGATTAGATCAATCACTGAGAATCTTTCTGTAATACGGGCATTAATGTTAGTTCCGTTTTTCGCCAGGCCCATTCTCTTTCCGCACAGACTCTACTAAAAGGGATTGTGACGGATGATTATAAATTAAACGAAATCTTAAAAGTTCGTCAATCAGATTATAAAAAAAATAATATTTTTTTCTCAATTTTCCAAAAAAAATTGCAAAGCGCGTAAAACTTGTGACGTCACATCGAGGTCAAAATTGTACCAAGACGTGACGTCATGCATGCGATATTTCATATCAATATATCTTTGTAGAGGAGCTCGATGGCGCGGTTGGTTAGCGCGTTCGGCTGCGATCGTTGTAGTTAAGCAACTTTCGCAGTGGTCGGTCATTGGATGGGTGACCAAAAATTTCTATCTCGAGTTCCTCTGTGCTTCGGAAGGCACGTTAAGCCGTTGGTCCCGGTTGCATCTGCAATCGTTAGAACTCGCCAATCCACACTGGGCCCGCGTGGTAGGTCATGGCCCAATCTGTCTATTCCATCCATAGGGAAGGCCTGTGCACCAGCAGTGGGGACATAAAGAGGCTGATGATATGCGATGCGAATAAAGAAAAAAAAGGCCAATACTTTTAACACGACTTTCTACAACAACAAGATTATTATGATTATGATTATGATTATGATTACAACCAAAGTATGTAAAGTATTCTGGGTTCATGTAGGTATGTATGTACAATTCTTTCACCATAACTTCTAAAAGCCTAAACCGATTTAGATGTGTGTCGTTAGAATCCTTTCACTTTTCCTGGTAACATAGGATACCTCAGCTGTCAAAGAAGTCTCCTAATTATTACAATATAGGTATAATTTGTAAGACATGAGACCATATCAAAAATTCTAAAATATATAGTAGCATAAATTTTTTTTTTTAACGGGATCCGTGTTGATTAATTTTTTAAATTAATTTTTGGAGTTTACTCCTTAAGAATCGGGCATATATAAGGATATTGCATATATAAGGGGCCCGGTATGAGAAAAATGTGAGGAGTAAAATCTATCGATGAATGACGACGTTACGTTTTTGGTGCGCATCCTATGTCGCGCAACTTTGACAAACAAAGATGACGGATTGACATTAATAAGAATTTTAAAATCTGAACTGAATTTAGATATTGTCTCTGATAGAGCAATGGGGACAACGAGGTATGGTACAACCATTGATGCGGTATTTTCAAGATTCGTGAACCACGTATCTACGAACGTCCATGTGTCTTATTTTAGTTACCATAAACCACTTGTCGCTGTAATTAATAATGCAGACAATGTTGATTTAATTAATATTTAAAAAAATGATGAATATTATATATAATAAAGTCACGCGGACCAGGCAGCAGACGGGACTCGAACCCGCACCCTTCGCAACCCGGGCGAATGCACTGACCAATTATGCTACCGCGGCCCTGATGGCCGCGTTGAAATTTTCCTATCCTTAAGCTGCAAGGCAGCGCCATCTCTTCGCATTGTAACCCAAATTTTTTTTCTATTACAAACTTTTTTTTTTAAATAGCAATTGTTATAAATTGATTTAAATAAATGTAAGTACGTACTTTAAACGGGCAAAAAATCCATGACATTGTATGTTATTTACTGCACCGGTTTAGGATATTAGGTTAACGATGTAAATCAATATTTTTGTATGGGGATGTAGTACGTTTACCTCCTTAATAATAGACAAGGAATAAGCTTAGACTAGTTATGCCGTGTTTTGTTCACGTCACTCAAGTGCCATTTGTCATTCAATGAACAGACACAAAACATGGAGTAACTAATCCAAGCGTAGTCTTCGTTTATTAATAAGGGGGCTACTGTTTATAACTGCGCGCACATTTTTTTTTAAGTTTCTCAGATAACTCAAAATTCAAGGTGTATAATTATCTAGAATAAAAATACATGTTGTTCATTATATAAAAATATTTATTTCTCATAAAACACGAAATTGTTGACTCGTTTTTAACCTAACAAACATTATTAATAATAAAAATAAATCTATAAGTAGTTATTCAAATCAAAACATATTTTAGTTTAAAACAAAAACATACTAAATTTACAATAAACAGTATAATATTTATTAACAAGTGAAAGTAATTAATTACTTTTGCTTAACAACCAGTTTCGTTAATCAACCTCCAGTAAAAGGTAAGGATAATCCAAGGTAAGGTTCCGTTGCTTAGCAACAATTGTTATTATATTCTTATTACAATGTAATAAATATAATTTGGCAACAAAGCCTGGGCCTAGGCCTGGTTTACAGAAGTTATGGAGTTTGAGAATTGAAACTGGCCGTAAGTGATTATTTAAGCAACATTTTATATATCATAAATAAGAAATTGATCAAAGTAAGAGCTTTAAAATCTTTATATATATAATTCTTCTGTGAGTGTGTATGTCACTGAACTTCTCTTAAACGACTGGACCGATTTTGATGAAATTTTTTGTGTGTGTTCAAGGGGATCTGAGAATGGTTTAGATTCTAGTTATATATATAAAAATTCGTAACCAAGTAATCGTTACCATTTACGTTGATAGTAACCATTTCTCTTGTACTTTTATTATTGTCATCTAAAATGATGGACAGGTATCAACAATCTATTTCCGTTATCGTATAATATTTTCAACCAGCGGGCGAACCAATGGAATAAAAATGACATTTAGAAAAGTCTTTTTTTTCAAGCATTTATTCTAATCAATTACATTGTTATTCAAAATATATATAAAAATACAAGTTTCATTATATTTTTTATGCTATTTCATATGCTTTTAGGTTTAATCATCTCCTAATAATAATAATCATCATATCACATCGTTATTATTCTGTCATATAACATTGATAAAGCTAACTATTTGACTTTCTATTTTAAACTATTCGATACAATAGAGAGTATAATAAAGTTTAGTACAGGTAAAATCGTTTTCTTGACATAAACATATTATGGGTATATGAAAATAACGTATGAGTTAGATGGACTCTAGTAATTAGTAACCATTATGAGCATAATAGTATTTATAATAATAATCTTTAATAGTATTTACAATAATTATAGTAATCTATCTATATAAAATTGCCATGGATTCATCCTTGGCCTTACTAATATTGATATTAATACAAACATAACTGTCTGTCGGTTATACTTTCAGACTATATCTAATGAAACTTAGAAATGTGAACTTTCAAGGTTTTAAACAACTGAAACGATTTGATGAATTTATTATAAAGGTAAACGCATCTTGGAATACATAGGCTCCTTAATTTACAATGATAATTTTTATTACATATCCAATATTGTCAACCGAGCCTATAATCCTCGGATTTTGAGGATCCCTTCATCTCTATAAGTACCAAAATACATCAAAATTAATTAAGAGGCTTAAGCGTGAAAGCTTGGAAGTTACGCTGGAATTTATCGTGTTTGAATGGATACATAAACAGTTTTATTTTATATCGGTACAAGGTATGTGTTAATACGTTCATAATAATCAAAATCAAAGTCATTTATTCAGTTTAGGCTGTTACAAGCACTCATGAATGTTTAGAAGCTACGCCATCGGTTCGTAAATCTACGCCGGGAGACCTTGTACTGATAAGAACCGGCAAGAAACTCAGCAAGGGCTGTTTGTTTTCTCTCTGTTTGTTACATTATTTGCAGAGTCGTCAAGTTGAAAAATGACTTCAGTGATGATTCGTGAAGTCACCTTTCACTACATCAAGGATAGCAAAAGTTATATATCATTACTAGCGGCCGCACGCGACATTGTCCGCTTTTACTTTGGTTTTTTAAGATTCCAACAGAAAACTAGAAAACAGAAACAATTAATCACAATTCTGAACTTACTAAGTTCCAGTTAAGTTGCCAAGCAATAACAATACTTTATATCTATTAACGGGATTGTTACCATGTACCTTGTTTTTTATGAGTCTCCGTTATTTCGGCACTGTTGCAAGCGCCATGATCACGGAATTAACAGTCAGTTACTCCGTGATCATGGCGCTGTATCGGATGGCATGTGCCGAAATATCGGAGACTTATAAAAAACAAGGTACATAGTAACATAAAATCGTCGTTAATAGCTATAATGTTAGTGACCATGAGAGTTTAAAACAGAAAAAAACAATACTTTGGCAAAAATTCCCTATTACATACTCATAAACTTAAAACTAATGAATATCTTCGATAGGAGAGTGTTTTTCTTTATGCAGGCTTTCAATAAAACGTTGATTTATTTATTAATTTAACTTTATTTTATAATCACAATACATTTTCACTGTGTCAAAGCGGAGGCCAAAGAGCAACATAGAGTATCCTAAGATAACTTACCCCAGACTTTAAAAACTATGGACGTACTAGAGCTTTGTTCGTTGCCCTCAATAAAAACCATCACAGCAGATTATTTAAAAAAAAATGCATACATTGTAAATTAATGAACTATCTCAAGAATTGTTATTTCTTCTGTGGAACTCCCGCCCCGAGAGGTAATAATTAATGTAAACATAAACATATTATGACAAATCTACACACGAGCAGCACGAGGTGTAATCACAGTTGGCTGCGGGCCAGCCAATCAACAACACTGGCCCTACCATTGGCTACACTCATTTGCACTAGATTATCTTAACCAAATCTAAATTACACTCTTAATTTAATATTTTTGACTCTTCATACTCAGTAATAGTGGTCAGTCGGTACTTATTTCTATTAAGAATTTATATTTAAAATTGTTCAATCTTTTGTCCAATAAATACAAAATTAAATTAAATTTTATTATCTCGAGGGCAGGTTAATTTTTAAGTAAAAATACTGAGTACAAAATTTTTGTAATAAATAAAATTACATTTTTGCAGAAAACATTAAAAAAAGTAGAAAAACAACAACTTTTCAAAGTTGTTATCCCAAGTACAGAACACGTAGCTTACACTTTGCATTCACTGATTATTTAGATTCCACAACTTTAGAGTCACTAAGCACAGTCACAACAACTACAATCCTTTAGTTCCGTTCGTATAACCGGTAACCGCGAGAGCGTAGCGCGCGCGTGTTGTCGACACGGCACGTGGCACGCGAGTGTCCGCGGCCCGCACCCGCCGCGCCGCCGCCCCCGGCGGGCCCGCCGCAGGCCCGGCAACCACGCGTCACACCAACACCGTGCCGCCGCCCGCCGTTCCCTTTTAAGCTCTCGCCTTACACCTCTCATGCTATTCGCAACTCAGCCACAGCCGAGCGCACGCGACAACCAAAGCTAACTCAGACCCTACCCAGACACACGAAGACATGTCTGCACGACTGATTCTCGCCATCGCCGCAGCGGCCGCCCTCGCAGCCTGCGTCGCCGCGATGCCCAGGGATTACCGCGACCCCATCACGCTGGACCTCAACACGGTCCTAAACAAGACCGTCTGCCCGATCAACGTGACGATAGACTCGGACATGGATCGGATCCCGAAGCATATTAAAGTGATGAAGTGCCAGCGGGACCCGAACGTTTGGTGCGCCAAGATGCACATACCAAAGTACGAATGCTGCCAGCACCAGCGGGACAACGTGAAGCTGCAGTGCGTGGAGATCCAGGACACGGTGCAGGTGTACTACCCGGCGACGGGATCGACGCAGCTGTACCGCGTGTCGGTGGGCTGCGCCTGCGTCATGGAGGAGGCGGCCACGCTGATGGAGCCCACGCCCGGCGGCAGGTGACCGCGCCCGCGCCGCTAGTGCCGCAGTGCTAAAAGTGCCAGTGCCACTCATTCGCCATGGTTGTGACGCCCTGTATATACTTAGTCAAATATACCCCACGCCCAGCAGGAGACTTCTCCTGCGACGGCGCTCCTGTGACGATGGATCTCCCGGTAACCCTGTATTCAGGCATCGGTTTGTTTAAGTGTTAACTGTTAATATTAAATTATGAATTAATAAAAAATGCTTAAATATGACAACTTGTATTCTTTTTTAATCCTTTTTACTTAAGAAACTACTTTAAATATTTTGTAGGCAGTGTACGTTATTTTAAAATGATAGGAAACTAAATTTAACACAAGAAGAATGCAGTTACATACAGACAAATGTATTATAGAAATAACTCATAGAAATACCTGACCTAATCTCTAATACTAACTAAAGCATTGACAATTTTTGTTTAATTACTTTGAAAAAAAAACACGCTACTTGAAAAAGGATCTAACTCACTTGACCTATTTAGTTTTATTAGGGTTTCGTATTTATAGGATCACTTTGTCGTCCGTCCGTCTGTCAAGACCGTTTTTCTCAGGAACGCGTAGAGGTATCAAACTGAAATTCATATCTAATACTCAGATCTACCGTCCCTTGGAGCTGTGAAAAAATAAAACTTCTAAGGCAAAGCAATCAAAAGATACAGCCGTTTATGCCGCAAATTTCCGCAAATTTTGGAAACTCGCACGGGAATCAAAACCTACAGGGTACTTTCCGTGAACTTAGAATCTTGAAATTGGGTACGAAGTAACGTCTTATAGTACAGATAAAGGAAAAATTGTGAAAACCGTAAATTTTTAGTTACTTCACACAATAAAAATATTTTTTAATAATTATTTAAATTTAACCTACAGGTTTGTACGGAACCCTCGATGCGCGAGTCCGACTTGAACTTGGACAGTTTTTTTATGTATTAATAAATAGGAACTGGATGTAGGTAATTGTGACGACCTCCGTGGCCGAGTGGTTTGTACGCCGGGTTTCAGGGCGTCGCCGACTCGAGAGATCCCGGGTTCGAATCCCGGTGGGGTCAGATATTTGTGTGATGAACACGAGCATTTGTACTCCAGTCATGGATGTTTAAATATGTATTTCTATATAAATATACTTAAATATGTATAGTATGTGTATTCTATCCGTTACCCTAGTATCCCATAACACAAGCCTTACAGTGCTTACTTTGGGGCTAGGCTAATTGGTGTGAGGTTGTGTTGGAAATATTTATTTATTATGTGGCCAAGATGGACATACCTAGATGCGCTGGGGACTGACAGAGCGGATACGTGACTCAGCCAGAACGCGAACTGTCGGCGTCGACGTGACTCACACCCGGGTATACATGCCTTTCGGACTACACTTTCTATATCCGATATTGCCCACATATCCATTTGCAATACGCCCTCAATACCACAATGTAGATCAAGGAAAATTAAATAAATTAATATTTAAAACATTCACACAAATTAGCCTAGACCCAAAGTAAGCACTGTATGGCTTGTGTTATGGGATACTAGGTTAACGGATAAAATACATATACTGTACATAAACATAAGTATTATTATGTAGAAATACATATTAAACATCTACGACTGGAGTACAAAAGCTCGTATTCATCACACAAACATCTGCCCCCATCGGGATTCGAACCCGGGACCTCTCAAGTAGGCGACACCATGAAACTAGGCGAACAAACCAATCGGCCACGGAGGTCGTCAAAAAACCATAAAGTATCGGGAGATTATATAACCCTCCAAGTTAATAACTCAACAGTAGAATAGTACTTAGATTTCAAGTCAGTGTCATCTGAAAATATAATTTGTCTGTTTTGAAAGAATTTTTAGTCTACTATTTTTATGTATTATATTTTTCTTTTATTTTTTAAGATGGTAGCCGATTTAAGTCCTGAACTGAATTGTGATAAAAGCTAAAACATGAGTTTCAATCACACTAATATTATAAAGGCCAATAATTATATAATTATTATTATTTTATAATAACTGTGAGTGTGTATGTTTGTTACTTCTTCACGTCTAAACGGCTGGAGTGATTTTAATAAAATTTCGTATGGAGTTTGCTGACACCCTGAATTAACACATAGGCTACGTTTCGCAGGAAAATATCCCTAATAAACCGCGGGTAACACCGCGGGGCACAGCTAGTATTTAAAAAAAAAATTTAAGCGACATACACTTTTTTTTTAATATCAAAGAACGCGGCTTAAATCAAACATTTTTCTTAGTAATTACTTATATTCTTACTTTTATATTATGAAAATTATCAACTCATTATTATTATCACAGTCATAAGCGTCCATGGGGCGAAAAAGTTGAAATAAACAAAGCATTGTAAGCTAATTACCTAAAGACCTTATTTCACTTTTGCCTTTTCGCAAGTAACACCTCTAGTATTGTCATAAAGATTATGATAACAGTTGCGGCAAAGACCACCTTGAGGGCCTGAACCTTATTTCTCTTACCCCACAGAACGATCATTTGATTGCAGACCCTTCGACTGCAGCAATGCAACTCTACAAAATAGTTTGTAGTTGTTTTTAAAATTTTCAAAATCTTCCAATGAAATAACAGAACGCTCAATAAAAGTCTTTCGAAGGTCGCTCGGCAAAATTAAATAAAAAATCATTATTGTCTGACGATGCAGAACTGAAAAGGCTGCGAAACGTCAAATAAAAAAATAAAGTTTCGTGCTAGTTAAAACTAGTTTTATTTAAAATAGTTTGTAGTTGTAAATTGGTTCATTGTCTGGTCGTGGAGTCATTCACACAAGGGAAGAAGTAAAGTGAAAAAATACGACACGAGAGTAAACGACATAAAAGGGTTTCCACAAAATTTTACGCCAGATGTTAATTAATTAGCTAAATAATAACATAAAACCAGTCGTTCCAAGCCAGTTTGCTTTAAAATCATCATGGGTAACAACAGATTAGGACTGCGCGATGGGTCACGGCTCAATCCATGGAAATGCATTCCACGAGGAAAGTCTGTGCCCCAACAGTGGGGACATTGAAGTACGGATGAGATTATGATATTATTATATACTAGCAAACCAGTGAACCAAATGTTAACCAAAAAAAAAAAAAGTTATTAATTAATTGAGAACTTCGGAGATTTTGTGTGGTTTCCTCGAAAACCGGAAGTGCGTTAATCACATCCGGTTTGTAGTCTTATCAGACTATTCTTAACTTATAACTTAAACATTCTCTATATCAGCTATACTCTAAGTGTGTTCCGCGGAACCCTAGGGTTCCGTGATACCTCTGTCGGGGTTCCGCAAGAATTTAGAAATAAAAAAATCAAAACACCTCTCTCTGGTCGCTCCGCGGCTGTGCGGACTCCGCGGCCGCGCGGAGACAAAACGCTATGAATGTTATTTATTTATTTATTTGTATTTGTATAAGCTTGTGTTACATTAGCTGGTACAATATCTCATAAGTTTGGTCTCAACAATTTTATACTTGTACAACGCGTTCGCTCTAAGTTTGCCGGTCTGTGGAATGCGCGTACCCTCCCCCACGTGACAACAAAACTTATAATGTGTCATAGTTTTACCCAAATATCTAACGTACACAATTTTTATTGTTACAATTAAATAAAAAATTTCGAACGTCATACACTCATACCTATCGCCAGCGGCAAACTTAAAACGAGCGGGTAGTATACTTGTAAGCGCTCAGTCTCTTTGATAAAAGCCGCCTCTGAATTAGACGCTATAGTTGTCAACTAGCGACTTTCGTCTCTAACTTCAAAGGATAAAGTCGATATTGTTTACAACGCTATTTTTAAATTTCTGTTTTTATTTTTGCTTTTTGTTTATCAAAGGTGCCGACTCGAGTATTTTCGAGAATATTTGAGATCGAGTCTAGGACTAAGTATAAAAGCGGCGATCGCGCGTTGGCGTCGTCAGTTGATGATTAGCGTTCGGAGCGATAAGTTACTACCTACTTACAAGCTCGCTAGCGAGAAACTGGTGTTCATTGTTTTACTGCCTGCTGTATTCTGTTGTCTCAGTTTTATACATTTCTTCCCTGTAGGTTCTAAATTTAGTCTCTTATACGCAGTAACGATTGTGCATTATTTAAACCCCACTATCCTGACTTGTAACATTATAAATAAAGAAGAATGGAACGTTGGCTTAAAGGTGTTAAACGTGTTCCAACAACATCTTCTAATGACGCTGAATGTTCAAAAGCAATGCGCGCGGAGAATTTAGCAATCACCGATCCAGAAGATGATGCCACGAGTGCCACGACGTCAAGCTCGACGGTTTCAAAGACGAAAAAAAGGAAGTATGATGAATCTTATATCAGTTTCGGATTTGTTGATTCCAACGGCTCACCTCTCTGCATGCTCTGTAGTAAACTGCTTCCTAATAGTTCCATGGCACCTGCCAAATTGCGTCGACATTTAGAAACCGTACACCCCGAGACTAAAGACAAGAATAAAGAATTTTTTGTTCGCAAAAAAGATCAGTTATTAGAAAGTCAAAAAAATATGATGCATGTAACACAAACTACCAACGAAAAGGCCACGGAGGCATCATACTTAGTTAGCTATCGCATTGCACAAGCAGGTGAAGCGCACACTATCGCTGAGAAATTAATAAAACCATGTGTATTAGACATAACAAAATGTATGCTTGATGAAAAATCTGCAAAGCATCTTTCTACTGTTCCGCTATCAAACGATACTGTTTCACGACGAATCCATGATCTGGCAAGCTACGTCAAACAAGAACTAGTTACACGTCTACAAAATACACGATTCGCTTTGCAAATGGACGAGTCGACTGATGTCGCTGGTTTGGCTATCCTGCTGGTTATTGTGAGATATCCATATAAAAGTTCTTTTGAAGAAGACATGCTTATGTGTTCATCGCTGCTTACAAACACTACCGGGGAAGAAATTTTTAATAAAATAAATATATTTTTTGAAGAACATAATCTCAGTTGGAACAATTGCATTGACATTTGTACAGATGGGGCCAAGGCGATGACAGGTAAAACAGCAGGAGCAGTGTCACGAATGAAAAATAAAGCGCCTAATTGTAGTTCCAGTCATTGTATTCTGCATAGACAAGCACTTGCGATGAAGCAAATGCCGTCTAATCTAAAATTAGTTAT